TGGTATAGCGGTGGCAAGTGCTGAGCAATCCTGTGGGTAGCGGCGGTTATTTGTTATTTATCTCCGGACGGTCGCAAAGCCATTCCTGTAGTATAAATTGTACAAAGTAGTGTACAGAAAAACAAGTTTCGACTTCACCATCTCAGAGAATTAGAGTTACGATCTCAGCGACCCGAGAAGTTCGAAAGCGTCGAACTTAGCGAATTATAACCGATCTTAGCTTTGCCAATAGGCCTGACTCGTCGAGTGAATTAGCTCCGCCATCGATTCAATTAGCTCCGGTGCGTCTCACATAGCGAAATAAAAATTAAACAAGTCCCTTTAGCGTTTTCTACTCCCGTGGGCCCGAACCTACACTCGGTTCCGTGGTTTGCGACTTTGATTGCGACTTGGCAGAGATAAATACTCCGGAGCATCAACTAGCGTTTGTTTCAGGTGTCAAATTGTTTGTTTTATTTTTCTAGGTCTTCCTACGGACTACCCTACGGTGTCTTACTCCTCCTTTCCCCCTCGAACTATTAAATACCCCTCAGTTGTCTCGGACCGCTTTCACCCATATCACGGGGTTTAGGTTTATTAAAATACCCCTCAGTTGTCTCGGACCGCCTCCACCCATACCACTGGTGTTAGGTTTATTTGTTTTCTTGTGGTCCTTGGTGATTGTTGTGTGTCTGTGCATATCAGCGGTAGCTGGGGAGAGGCTCCAGTAGGGGTACCAGCCGAAAGTGGTAGCTGGATGAGATCGGGTCAGAATCTCTTGGACTCTTGAGTAAACCTGTAGAAAAATATAGGGTGTGTCAGGTTCCACAAGGGCGTAGCATTGTAGTATGTATTGGTAGTGCACAAAACAGTTTCAGAGCTGACAGTGGACAAATAATTTCTTCCTAACAAATAGGCAGAGATCCAATGGGGTGATCGACAAAATATGTACCCCATCCACACAGTACTAACCCAGTTGAGCATGTTCACAAATCCCTACAAATCCCTTCAAGTGGTACAATGTCCCCTGAAGAGCCCACCACAAACCTACAAAATGCCACAAAATGGCGGCTACCAACCTACAAATTGTTACAAAATCTCCACTACAAACCCAGGTACAGGAATATATTTGGAATTTCCGAGTATTTTTGTGCAAGTTCCTGACTTTATTTGACCACTGAGGCTAATCAGTCATGCTGTGCAGTGCTATCAATTATTCAATTTTTTGCGGTTTTTTTCCATTTTTTATGGCAGTCTGAGTGCCACGGTCGGGGCAGAGTATTGCTATGATGTAGTTGCACTGCAAATTTTGCAAAAGTGCATTCCAACTATGTCATAGCTTGCCATGGTTAAAGTCCCAACTATAAAACTTTCAAGTCAAGGGGGAGTGCACTACAAATGAGTGTGCAGCCAATCAGATTGCAAGAATCCCACCCGGCGCGGAAATCTCTTAATTCGAACTCCTCCGTAATACTCCCACAACAAGCATTCAGTAAGTAAACCAGTTGTAGTCATGGTTTGGAAAGACACGCCCACAGGACATCGCAGAACAAGCATAAAATCACCAAAATATTTGTGTGCATCCACTGTATAGTTTATATAATATATTTGAAAGACTAGACTCTTTGAGGTCCATGCAGAAGAGCACTGTAATCACTGAAATTTGAGACTACAAATCTCATTTTGAAGTCTCAACTACAAGCGGAGTATGAAATATGTGTAGTAGCAACTACATCTTTTATTCCCACAGTGTGTCAGCAACTACATTCCCACAGTACTCAACATTCGGCACAAGCCTGGTAAAGACTCTTCCTTCATTCCTTAGGACTCGTAATGAGATTCCCCGAAACATCAGGACCACCAGTGGAAAAATCAAGCTTTGGAATCTGGACTCAAGAAGATAAAGACATGATGGGGAGTACACAACCACGAGCAATAGAACAGCTGAACAAACAGTAAAGGCACTACAAAGCACAGGAACAAGTAATCACAGCCAATCACAATCATTCCCTACCGGATGGACACTAGGTGTGGGAAAATAAATCACTGATAATAAAAATTCACACAGTAACAAAGCATATAAGTACTCGAACCCCAACGGAGACATGAAGGGACCGATACATATATATAGATGTGTAAATCATCGCAAATATCGCAAGTAGGGTAATACAATATATAATCTGACAGAATTAAATAACTAAACGGTATACTGAGTACATGATGTAGCCAAAGCACATCCAACGAAAACACCCAAGTACCTACGTCACACAAACTAGCGTGCCACAGCAATGCGGCAGCCAATCAGAGCACTCAAATCCCAAACAGCGCGTCGAGGACCCCAGCACCGCACCTTCAACTACTGCACCTAGTCAATTCCCACGGTAACAAAGGCCCTCGGACGATGTCAGACCACAGAACATGGCACACTGATCCACAAATCATACATGCTCCAAAGGTTATATTGAGAAGGGCAGAAAGTTCGGTGGAATAGTGTTGAGTGAGGGACAAATGGAAGCAAAACAGACACTACAAACATGATTTTATAGTCAATTTCTAGTCACCACTACAAGCGGACATAGAATCAGACATTTAACATTGTATGGGCCACTACACAAATTTATTCCCACAACTTCTCGGCATCTTGTTCCCACGGTGCATGTGTTCGGCAAAGTGCTCAACTTTGAGCATAAGGACTCATCCTTCGTACCTCAGGACTCGTAACGATGTCCTGTACACTGCTGTCTGGGCCCCCTTCAGACTGTACGAATGGCTTGTCATGCCACAGGGTGGCCGAAACACACCTGCAACACACCAACACCGCATGTTCAGCACATTGCGTAAGTACATTGGTACGATTTGTCACGTCTATCTAGATGACATTGTTATCTAGTTGAATATGCTCGACGAACATCATGAAAACATCTGCATCATCCTAGACACACTCCGCTGATATGCACTGACACACAACAATCACCAAGGACCAAAAGGAATAAACCTAAACCCTGTGATATGGGTGAAGGCGGTCCGAGACAACTGAAGGGTATTTAATAGTTCGAGGGGGAAAGGAGGAGTAAGACACCGTAGGGTAGTCCGTAGGAAGACCTAGAAAAATAAAACAAACAATTTGACACCTGAAACAAACGCTA